TCCAAAAGTGAGGTACATGGCTCGGTCATATGAATTTATAAGAGTAAATTAGGTTTAGGTAACCATGGGTTAGCCTAAGGTTAAGTGAAACCATGGTATGGTTCACTTAACTTTAGGCGCCCAAAATTTGAATTCAAAATTCAAATTTTGGTGCCTTAAACCGGATCACCCATGTGCAAGCTCATTTGAAATGTAATTAGAGTTCCATTTGAGTTGCATTTCGGATCACACCATGTGCATGTGTTGCACATGGCCGAAATGCACACCAAATGTGATTCTAATTACATTCTAATGTAACTACACATGTAACCTAAATAACCCTAAATTCAAATGACCTCTAAATGAAAAAGCTAAGCTACATGGCCGGAAATACAAGGCCCAAAGGAAATACAAAGGCACTAAGGCCCAATCCTATACTAACCCTAATCTAATGGGCTTGAGACAAAGCCCAACAAAATAAAGTGGTGGGCTTTCCTTGGGCTTGGGCCCACTCTTCATGTATCATCCTTGCCATAGCCCTAGTAGTTGGGCCCTTTGCCCATGGGCCTCCTCCATCATCTACCTCATATCCAAATTTTTGTTCACCAACATAGTCATGTTGTTTACCATTCTGAACATCAATATCCAAATCATGAAAAGGCAACCGAATTGGACAACATCAACCATGCCACTATCTTCCTTCGGTGTAGATTTTTCCACCTTATCAATGCTTATGAACTTCACATCACGTCTTCTAACAAGCTTTTTCTCAACATGATCATAGAATCAGTAACCAAATTCATCCTCACCATAGCCAATTAAGATACGTTGCCTTGTCCTTGCATCTAAATTAGATCTCTCATCCTTTAGACCACACACAAACGCCTTGCAAGCAAAACCTTTCAAGTGATCAAACTTGACATTCTAGCTAAACCAAATTTTATTTGGCATCTCACTATTCAAAGCAACAGTAGGATTGAGACTGATAACATGCACCATAGTGTACGATGTGAAGAACTCCTTCTTTGTTGTAACATGCAGTGTATCACCATTATCTATTATCTGCATGCTCTCACTTGATACAAGAGATTAATTGTATCAAGATTAGGAAGAAGAACAAGATCATCATTAGTAGCAACAGTAACACAATTGCTATCATCATGATCTTTCTTTGTTTACCTTTCTTGTCTTTATTCTCCTTTTTCCACAAAAAATAATTCCTTTTATATGCCTTTTTTTGTGACAAAAGTGACACTTCACATTGTTGTACCGAGACCTAGACTTGTTCCTACTTTTGTCTCTACCACCTTTTTGTTCTTTCTTCTAGCTTCTCTCCCTGTTCTCAATAACAAGCACCTCTAAATGAGATGAAGTACCCTATATCTTCCTTCTCATCTCCTCATTAAGCACACCACTCTTTGCTATTTGTAAAAAAGAATCACCAATAGGAGCAACACCAATCATGGAAACTTGGAATGTTTCCCATGAATTAGGTAGAAAATTTAATAGGAATAGTCCTAATAAATCTTCATCAAATTTTATATCCACTCCGGATAGTTGATCAAAACACCCTTGAAATTCACTTAAGTGATTTTTAATGAGAGTCCCTTTCTTGTACTTCAATTCTACAAAATTCTTCACCAAGTACAATTTATTATTTCCTAATTTTGAAGCATGCAAGGACTCAAGCTTATCCCATAGGGTTCTCGCATGTGTCTCAATAGCAATAAAATTATAAAAATTATCATCAACAAATTGCCTAATAAATCCATACACTTGTTGATGCTCAAAATCCCATTCTTCATCCGGCTTGGATTCTAGTTTATTAGAAGCAAAGATAGGAAGATGTAAATTCTTCACAAATAGCAAGTCATTCATCTTTCCTTTCCATAGGTGATAATTTGCTCCATTTAAAGAGATCATCTTAGTATGTGCCTCCATCATTCAAGCAAGCCAAACAACCCCTTAACCAAATAGTTCTGATGCAACTCTGATGAGGAAAAGTCCAACACAATAATAGTAACTCAATAAAAAAAGAAATAATGCAATAGAAATTAAATCCCTCTATTTACAATAATTTACTAGGAGCACCAACTAAATAAAGTAAAAATAGATAACTCAAATGCACAAGAAACAAAGATTTTTCATGTAAAAAATCCCTCAATGTAAAGGTAAAAGTCACGACTCATCTATGCAAAAAAAGAAATTCACTATGATCAACAAAGGATTATGGAGAATCTCCAATGAATGCACCAAATAGTGCTTACAACTAGCCAAAATAAAAAATCAAGCATAATTGCTTACAAATGAGAAATAAGAAGAAAAAACTTCAAAAATATAGTTGTTACTAAAAGACATACTTCTCCCACTCCATGCTTCTTTTCGATGATCTAACTGTTGAATATGAAACACCACATCATACAAACTTGTTGTTCAAAAATTAGTCTAATCTAATAGTGAATGAGTCTTCAGTTGCAATTTAACAAATGTTGCATGATCAATATGCGACCTGAACAACAAAACTTTATTTTTTTTCTCTTATCTTTGTATTTTATTGTTGTTTTCTTAAAATAAGTCAGTCTCTCTCTCTCTATTCTAACTTGATTCCTCTCCACTTTGTTAAATGAAACATAATAAGCTTAAACATTTTAAACATATTCTTTATATGCGAAAAGAGCTTAAAACCCAACACAATTAACCAACTAGCAATAGTAAATTTCAATTATATTAGATTTCTAGTTCATGTGAAAAAATATGATTGATAAATTTTTTTTACTAAAGGTATGATATATAATAATAATAATAATCATTATTATTATTATTATTATTTTTCTTCTATCTCACTATTTGATATATATATATATATATATATATATATAATATATTATTTTACACTTCTTTTTCTTTTCTAAATATAACATTTATCAATACACTTTAGGTTATACCGTGATGATCACAAAGGCATTATTTGAATTAAAGTTGCATAAATATTTTTGCAACTTTCAATGCAAATTTGTCAATTCTAACGTAGAAATAAAGAAGGATAAACAATCATTGCGTTAGAAATAAAAACTTGAATAGATGCACGACGTTTCTCCACGACGCAAGAAAGAAGACATTAGTCCTCGTCAACGTAGAAAATGCGCGCAAACGACGTATCGACGACTTGAAATTTCTTCCGTGAACAAAATGGGCTAGTAACAGCAATTTGTTTCTTCGCACTGAGTCAAGGGTAGTTGTGGAATATTCAGCTCGGTAAGAAAGAAGACCAGCGAGTCACGTTATCAAACAAAACGCAAACCCATGACCGTAAAATAATAATACATTAATCGAAATGGTGCTAATCTAATCACCTAAGCCACTATCTTTGTCATGAACAGTTACTGTTTCGTGTGTCGTAGACTTGAGTGCATGTCTAGTCACCATTGGGAATACTTTGAAGAATTCAAAAAATCATTACGTACTCATGATTCTTAATTAGTCTTTAAATGATACCTAATTAAGTGTTATTAATTTCTTTTTATATATTAAATATTTGATACTTTTAAATCGCCTAATAATTTATTGATGAACACTCTGATTTCATTATATATATATATATATAATGTCTTGAGTGGACAACCAAATTTGTGTACTAAGAAGACTATGGAGAGCCAAAGCCAACCCCAAGTTTCAAATTCAAGCCAAAACACTGAAGGAACCACCTTCTTCAGAACTTGTCTCAATGTGATCAACACCTTGGCAGGTCTTTGATTCTATCTCTCTCTTTTTTAAATTGCATATATTTCATCCTATATTTATCAAACTATGCTATAGCAGTAAGTGATGCATACAAAGTGGAACAAAATATTACAACATTTCATGCCATATCAGCTTTCGAAATATTTTCTAATGACATGGTAATTCTGCGTTTCTGCTGTGCTAATTTACAAAACATTTGAGATAAAAGTGCCTAGTAAATAATGGTTTTGGTACTTGAAAGTATTGACTGTTGTCACGTTAGTTCTTGAAACTAGCATAATGTTAAATAAGTCTCTAAAATTAATATTCAAGTCTCTAAAACTAATGTCAAATATGTTTCTATTTTATGATAAGTGTTATATTTGAAGAAAAAATAAATCCTAAAATAAATATTTTATTAATTTAATATTTTTTTTCTCATTTATATTCATCATAATATATATTCTCTGAAAATGGTAATTATATTACATTATTTCAAATAAAAGATTATTTTATAAAATTATCATTCTCTTCTATCTATTTACTAATTATTTTTGAACGACGACACTTATTATGAGTATAGGAAGTATTTAATATCACTGTTTTTAAATATATCAATAATTTAGTATTATCACTCGTCGCACTTTTTTCATATATATATATATATATATATATATATATATATAATTAATCACCTATACATTAAATGTAAAATTCTTTTACACTAACAACTAATTATATCTTTTAACTATGTCATGTCACTATTAAAAATAAATGTATTTATAATGATATAGTACAATTAAAAGATATAATTGGTTTTCAATATAAAAAAACTTTACACTGACAATATATAAGTGATTAACACATATATATATAAATATATATATATATATATTAATTAGACTAGTGTGATTGTCGATATTCATTTTGGTAAACAATTCACATTTTCTCAACTTCAAAAATTAATATAACAAGATTTTCTAATAGGTCTGGAATACAAATCCTATTTTTATATTCTATTTTAACTTGTTAAAAATAGTAAAGATGACTAACAAATTTTTTTGTCAGAATTCATCAAAAATAATCATTAGATTGTCAGGGGAAAATCGCATGTCTTATTATTCTAGTTCAAATTCAACTACTTTTTGATGTCACTATAATTTGAGTTTTATCCTATTTTCCCTTTCCGCAAATTTTTGGTTACTAAATAGCAAATAGCCTCTATGTGTAAGTAATTAAAATTCCAGAATTCAAAGCGCAAGAAAATTCAGTAATATATATATATATATATAGAGGAGGGTTCAAACGACACCGGTGTAACTTTTATAATGTTACACCGCTCATTAACTTTATATTAAATGTGAATTTTGAAAATCGAACCGTTAAATTGAAAGTTTATATTTCTTAGGTCATATATATCAAATTTTATATTAATCTAATATGATATATATGATCTAAGAGATATGAACTTTCAATCTAACGGTTGAATTTTCAAAATTCACATTTAATATAAAGTTATTGAGCGGTGTAACACTTAGTAAAAGTTACACCGGTGTCGTTTGAACCCTCCTCATAGTCATATATATATATATATATATATGGGGTTATAATTACACCGGTGTAATTTTTACTAAGTATTATACCGTTCAATAATTTTATATTAATTGTGAATTTTGTAAATTCAACCGTTAAATTGAAAGTTCATATCTCTTAGATCATATATACAAAATTTTATATTAATCTAAGATGATTTGATATTTCATTTTTATAAAACAAAATTGACGTATATATTCATTTCAAAATACACTAAAATATGAACACTTTGATTACTTTCAAGTTGTCGTTCAATATTAACAAAATTTGATATACACATATAAAGTGATATAAACTTTCAATCTAACGGTTGAATTTACAAAATTCACAATTTAGCAAGTTTGAAAATCATTTGATACTTCGTTTTATTTAATTCGAATCAATGTATAAAATAATTTTATGATTATCCGTGAATTTAAATTAATGAAATGAAGTATCAAATAATTTTCAAATTTTCTTAAAATTTGCAGATTTGATCTATGCATTAAAAACTTTAAATTGAACAGTTGGATCGTTAAAATTTGATGTAGAATATGAGTTATTGAACAAAGTAAGATTAGGTAGACTTACTAAGTAAAAGGATTTCTCCTCTCACACAAACACATACTTAAGAAAACTAGAAAAGAATAATAAATGACTTCATTTATCTATCGTTTATTTGATATCTATAAACAAATCTATTAAATTTATCTATTATAATAAAAATAAATAATAAATTAAATATTCAATTCATTAATTTAATTTTATGAATAAGAAAACTACTCATTTATTTTAATTTGGTTAATTTGTACAAAGGATATTATAGTAAATTAATTTAATTTTAAAAGAAAATAAAATATTTTCTCTTTCTCATTAACCTCATTCTCCAATTCATTTCTTTTTTTATTAATTAATTTTTTATTTATTCAGAGATAGAGGGGAGACATCATGAGAGATGAGAGAGAAATGAGTTAAAAAAGGAATTTAAAAGGAGATAGATAAATAAGTTAGAGAAAGAATTTAATAGGAAAGAGAAATGAATTAGAGAAAAATTTAATAAGAGAAAGAAATGACTTAGAGAATGAAGTTAATAAGAAAGAGAAAATATTTTATTTCTATTTAAAATTAAATTAAATTATTAGAATATCCTTTATACAAATTAACCAAATCAAAAGAAATGAGTGATTTTTTTGTCTTAAAATTTTGGTATAAGTTACAACATACTCCAACTAAAAAATAAATAGGAGTATATTAGCATTCCCCTATATATATATATATATATATATATATACATATATTAGATTAATTGATATTTATATTTTTTTTTTCTGTTTATTAACCAAAGTGTAACAAGTGTCATTTATCTATCATTTAATATCTATAAATAAATCTATTGAATTTATCTATTATAATAAAAATAAATAATAAATTAAATATTCAATTCATTAATTTAATTTTATGAATGGTTAGTGATTAAATAATTAATTTTTTTAAAATATATTTAATTATGTTATTAAATATTTATTGAATTGAGATTTTAAAAAATTACTTTTATATAAAAAATATTTTATGAATTTTGGAAAATTATATAAAAACGTAATAATTTGTAAAAAGAAATATAAAAGTAAAAATTATTTAATTTTAAAACATTATTTCGATGAATAGATTGAATATTTATCTATCAAAAATTGTCAATAAATAAATTTAATAATTTTTTTCTTCAAATAAATCGGATAAATTAATTTTTTTTTCATATGAAATTTTAATAGAAATAAATAGGTTAATAAATTATTTTAATTCAATTTATTATGATTAGCCTAAAAATTCAAACACTGTTCATTTAGATTATAATAAGATTATATTGTTCTTTAGGTATTGGGATACTCTCAATGCCATATGCAGTTTCTCAAGGAGGGTGGTTCAGTTTTATTTTGCTCCCCATTTTTGCACTGATATGCTGGTACACGGCATTACTTCTAGAGAGATGCATGAACAAGCATCCAATAATCAAATGCTACCCTGACTTAGGTGAGATTGCTTTTGGATACAAAGGAAGAGCAGTAATAGCTACAATCATCTACGTCAACCTATTTTTAGTTGCAGTTGAGCTTCTGATATTGGAAGGTGACGGTCTGCAAAAGTTGTTTCCAAACAAGAACTTCAACTTAGGTAGTCTGAAAATTCAAGGTAGAAAGGCTTTTGTCATGTTAGCTGCTGTGGGGGTACTTCCAACAACATGGTTGAAAAGCATGGGAGCTTTGGCCTATGTTTCTTTTAGTGGGGTGGTAGCTTCTATTGTTTTAATTGCTTGTGTTGTGTGGGTGGGTGAAGTTGATGGTGTGGGGTTTCATGAAAGAGGCCATTTAGTGAATTGGGAGGGATTGCCTACTTCTGTGAGCCTTTTTGCCTTCTGTTTCTGTGCACATGCAGTCATGCCTGCACACTGTAGTTCTATGAAGGATAAAAGTGAATTTTCTAAGGTAAGTTGTTCTTATATTTAGTGAAATTAAAATACTTACTTTTTTCTCACTCCTATCTTCAATATTTTTGTAAAAATAAATAGTAACACTCATATTGGTTGCCATTTGCAGGTTTTGATGGTTTGTTTTGTGGCAGCAACTATTACCTATGGATTCATTGCTATTGTAGGCTACACAATGTTTGGAGATTATTTGATGTCTAATATAACCTTAAATCTACCTTCAAAGAAGATAAGTACTAAAATAGCAATTATTTCCACAGTGATCAATCCTTTTACTAAGTATTGTCTTCTAATCATCCCAATAGCAGATGTTATCGAGAACAAATGGCTTTTCTGCAAGAAAAAGCCTATTTCCATTTTGATAAGAACAACTTTGGTGGTTGGCACTGTGCTTATGGCCCTATTCATGCCCTTTTTTGGATACATTATGGCGTTTATTGGTGCATCTTTTAGTGTGGCAATCTCATTGTTGTTCCCCTGTATCTGCTACCTAAAGATAAACAAAGCTGCTAGACAATTTGGGTGGGAGTTTATTGTCATCATTGTAATTCTTATCATAGGTACATTTATTGGAATACTGGGTACCTATCTCTCAATGAAGAACATAGTGAATCATCTATAGGCACGAGGGTGTGTGCTAAAAGCTTCTATTAAACGTTGATGTAAATTTCTAGAATATATGAAAAATACTCCTGTAAACCTTTAGTAAAAGTTGGAATAGTGATCTGAAATGTGATAATTAGATAAATCTAGAAATTAATGCCTAGAAAACTCTATAAGCATGGTAAAACAATTCACCGACTTTAGAATCCTATAAATAGGCCACTTGTGGCTCATTATAAATTAAGCTATACTCCTCCAATCAACTATCCCTTTTATTTCTACATCTACTATTGCCTATCAATTATAAAGCTTAAAGCAATATTTACTTTTCTTACAAATTCGTGTCCTCTATCCTTTAATATTTCACAATTACACTGTTTTAAATTCTATTAGTGGTATTAGAATTACATTCGATTGTCTACTGGACATAGATATATCTCCTAACTACTTCCGAAAAAGTTAATTATATTTCATACTATTTCTAAAATAATTTTCTTATGGCCACTTCCCATCAATGATCATCTATCCTAGTTCCTATCTTCACTAGAGAAAATTTTGACTTTTGGAACATTTTCTTGCTCTCAAGATTTATGGAATATTATACCAGACAAGTTCATTATCCCCAAAAAAACACATCAGCATTTACTACAATTTAAAAGAAGGAGTTGAAGAAAAATAAGCAGAAAGATTCTACGACATTATTTATTCTTCAACAAACAGTTATGAACACAATTGCTTCAAGAATAATGGATGTAATAAGTGTAAAGGAAGTTTGGAACACACTCAAGAGGAGGTATAATGTTAAACTTTAATCTTTAAAATGTGAGTTTAAAATAATAAAAATGAAATAGTCTGAAATCATAAAAACTATTATTCCAGAATTAGTCAAATTAGAGCATATGGAAAAAAATATTTTCGATAAAAAAATTGTTGAGAAAATTCTAAATTTTACTCCCCAAACATATTATGCAATTGTGAATGCAATTGAACAAACCAAATATTTGTTTATCTTATCAATGACACAACTAATGAGCTCTCTTGAAACTGAAGTAAAGATTGAAAAAGTGTGAAGAAGACTTTGTTGAAAATGTTTTTCTATCAAAGCTTAAGTTATGGTCTCAGAATAAAGAATATGGAGGAAATAAAAATAGTATAAAAATTTCTAGAAATAAAGAAAATTCTAAAAATTTCTCTAAGACTAATCAAGAAAAATGTCCTCTATGTGGTATATATAAAAGGACAAGTCACTTGAATTAAAAAAATTGTTAACATCGTGGAAAACTTCAATATTAGCACTTCAAGAAATTTGGATTTGTGGAGAAAAAAGTATCAAAATAAAAACAAGTAAGAAGCAAATTTCACCAAATAGCATGACAGTAAGCAACATGTTTTTTTTTATCATAGCCAATATTCGAACAATGAGACAAAAGGAATATGGTATTTGAATAGCGGATGCAGTAATCATATTGCTAATGATCGAAGCATCTTCAAAAAAATTGATGGCTCTATCAAAGTTCAAGTATGTTATGCATTTGACAAATATATCAATTATCGTAAGTAGCAAATTGGACAAAAGTCAAAATTATTGTATACCAATTATCATAAGTAATAAATTTGGTAATAAATTTGATACAAGTCCAAGTTATTGAATTCACATGGACCATGAGTAATAATTTTCAATACTAAATTGATGAAGTAAAGAGATTTAAAATTGTTTAAAGTAATGCATAAAAATTATAAAATTATGAAAGTAAAAAAGCATGCAACAAATTGATGAAGAATTTAAATTTAGATAATAAAACAATCAGAGATTGATTTTACTAACCTTTTCATGTAAACACTCCCAAATTTTTATTTAATTTCATAAATTAGATAGTTAATTCAATAGTCCTCAAATATATTTAAACCCTAATTTTGTAGGCGATAAATTCTAAGTTGCCTACGAGAAATCCTAATTCCTTGATAATTTTTATTAAGCATCCCGCATTAAGGTCAGTGACCTAAAGATCGACTAATAAGGCTTATCTTATTCCTAATAATAAGTGTTATTAGCATTTTACCTAGATTGTAACTCTCAAAGGGTTCCCCAACCTCAAATAAAATTAGAAAATATGTAATGGTTGATTAGACCACAACAAACATTAAATATAAAGTAAAAATGATTAACTAAATAAAAACATTTAATTGAATTAGAATTAGGAGAATTATAGGAGTAGAACAACTACATCAATCTCCAACAGTAAAACTTCAAATGATCATCTAATTAATTAACACAAAACATCGCATAAGAATATGACTCAACTATCCTAACATGTTATTGGTCTAAGACTAAATAATAAAATGGATATCTCCTTATATATATATATATAAGTATTTTAGAATGTAATAAAAACTAAAATTTCATTAGAAATGATATATTTTATTACATTAGGTAAATAATATAGGTTTAAAATTTTAATAAGAAATATCATTTTTATTCAATTATACTTTATAGGGTGGGCACAAATTAGATTTGAAGCATAGATTCGATCAAATTTAATTGGATTGGATTGATCCAATTTTATTTTTATTTTTCACTCCCTTATTTGAATTATTCCAAACTAATCATATTCAAGTTAGATCGGATTGGCTTGTTAGATTTATCTGCAAAAATAAAAAATATCATATTAGACAACTTCAAAAAATATTTTCATGTCTTCAAGTGATAAAATATTAAATATGATAAGCATGTTTATCAACATCACAAAGTACTACTTAAAACATTAAAAGTTACAAACTTAAAAAGTACTAAACATCATTAAATCAAAACTTAAATATGTCCAACATCACAATCTACAAATCTATCATGTCATCCTTAACATTACAAATTGAACAAAATATCTCAAGTGTTACAACTTACAACCAAACACCACAAAAATTATAATATGTAATCGATACTCAACTTTCACCCACGAGAGACACTCAAAATGAGGCACAAAAACCTTGAGTTTCATTTTTGTCCTCTTTGATACTAAATGAATGGGTTGGTTCCAAACAAAAAAATTGATTGAATAAGTCACTTATCTCTTCTTTATCTTTTACTAGTAACCGAAATTTAATAATTTAAAATAAATCTAATATAATATTATTAATAATAGTAATAAATATTAAATTAATCAGATGGGTCAATTTGGTTAGCTTTCTAAAAATCAAAATTCAAGATTCGAACCAAACTAATTAGATTTTAATTAGTCCAAACCAATCCGATTGATTTCTTTAGTTTGTAATAGATTGAATTGATTGGATCATTGGACTAGATTGGTGCTCACCGTTATTCAATTTACTACTATGTTATTATTTATTGTTGACAAAATATTAATATTTCAAATTAAATCTCACATGTATTTTTACTCTCTATCAGTATATTAACGTTTAGCTCCAATTAGTTATTTCAGTAATGTTACTTTACAACAAAAATTATACAATAACTTATATAACATTATTTTTGTGTTTATCTCTCTCTATCATATCATTGAGATATTTATTAATGATAGAAAGAGACAAACACAAAAATAATGTTGTTCAAACTTTTCTGGGAACGTTGTTTAAACTTTTCTGGAAACGTTATTCCTATAAATTTTTCTGGAAAATTTTATTTGTAGGTAATACTTTTGTGGATAATATGTTTTTGCGAATTTTAAAATTCACAAGAAATTTTTCTGCGAAATTTCTTGCAAAAAAATTCGCACAAAATTTTCCTACAAAAAAAAAATTCACAGAAAAGTTTCCTACGAATTTTTTCATAAGAGATTTTGTAGGAATATTTTTACCGTTGAATTTTTTTTATGATCATTAAAATTGTAGCAAATTTTGCAAAAATTTCTTGTAAATTATTTTTCATAAAAAAATTGGTAAAAAATATCTGTAAATTATTTTTGCAAATAAATTCGTTAAAAAATTTTGTAAAATTATTATTGCAAGAAAATTCTCAAAATATTTTTGAAAATATTTTTTTATAGAAAAATTTGTAAAAAAAATGACATTTTTCTATTAATGATATAACATTACTCTAATATTTTAATAAGTGTATTGTACAAGATAAATATTTATTTTGGTTAATAAAGTTTTTGATCTCTCATTTTATATTGTGTTCTATTTTTTATGTCTCAAAAAGACATTTAACCGGTGTTAGTCCATAAAAAAAATTGTTTCTGTTTTCTTGCTCGGTCATAATCTCTAAATAAAATTGTGTTTTAGTCCTTTCATTATAAGTGGAGTCATTAAAGAGGTATGTTTTCAATATTTTTGGTGGTTTAGTACTAATACAAATTTTCTAGTGGAATTAAACCCCTAGAAATGCTGCAAAAAAAAAAGTATCAAAGCCTGCAACACTGCAAAAAAAGTATCAAAGCCTGCAACACGAAATAACCCAAATACCATGACTTGCACATTCCATTGTCGATGCAACAATGTAAAATGATAAAGAAAGATCAAAACCTTATTATAGGTAAAATTTAAAAGAGAATTCAGGAGGAAAATGGGTGTGCAATGCATATGGTGGGGCTTGCAATGCATGCAATGTTGACATTAATAGTGATTGTGAGGAAGAGAAAGAGTGAGAGAGAGCGTAACACCTTGTTTTTTTTAGAAAATATTATTATTATTAATATTATATATTTTTTTTTATATTTTGGAGTTAGAAATATTTAATTATTATTATTAAAGAAAAAATATTTTTATATTATTATTTATATTTATTTTGTTAAATTATTTTGAAAAAAAAGGAGAAATAAGTCGGGAAGGGTAATGAGTTGGGTTGACCCGGCTCGAAGGAATGTAAACACTACAAGAAATTTCAAAATTACAAACGACTAAAATTCATGGGTAATCCAAAAAATAGACGGACAATAATCCGTCGGTAAATTGCTCGTTTGAAACATTTACTGATGGATTTAATTCACGGGTAACTTTCTGACAGAATTACCCACGGATTTTATCCGTGGGTATTGTTGTAATATTTTTAAAAAATCATTTCAAAATTATATTAAATAACACTCTTATTTAGTGCAACATCCCTCATATCTGACCTTTCAACAACTCCACTCCACGACACTTCATGCAACTCCTCGCTAGTCAGAACCCTCTATGGGTAACCCTTTTTGAGATATTTGGCTGCTTTTAGGATCAAAGATTGACCCCACAAACCTCACAAATCAACACAAGACTTTTCCAGTGTGCCTTGTCGTCACTCGCACATTTTTCTGAAAAACTTCCCAAAAGGTCACCCATTCCTAAATTACTC